ATATTTAATTTTTTATAATTATAAAAACTTAATTATCTACCTTACTAGTTTATAATTTTGTAATAAAACAAAGCAAAAGTTAACGCCAATATTTACATAAAACGTGCTCACCATTGAGTATCGCACCGAAACCGCTGATGGACGAATCTTTCATCTCCTTAAAATATTTTTACAATTATAAAACAAAATGTACAATGTTTATGAAAATGTGCACGCGGCGTGGATCAAATCAATTATTCCCCGGTTAAAAACGAACAACATTTAACGTCATTAAATCCTTCATTTTAACTTTACATTTTCTTTTTAAAACAAAAAATCGCCCATGTCGTCAACATGTCGGTTCTTAATGTTCATGACCATTTTGGATTGGACAGCAAAAAGGGAATTTGGCCTTAAAAAAATAATCTAAAGAAAGAAATGTTTTTAACGATCTTATGAATTTACGCAACACGCCAAAAATATTTTCGTATAAATCTTTTCATGCTTCACGTCAGGACATAATTATATCCGATTCTAATGAGCGTATTTTAATTGGGTTTTATAAACAACCTGAGTGCCTAAGAAATTTCAACAAGAGGATTTTGTTTTTCAATTTTCCAGGGATTTTCTTCAGTTCTACAGAACAGGTTTTAACAGGACTTGGTATTCTTTCTCTTCAGCGGTCCATTGAAAATAACCGAACAAGTGAAACGTTAACAAAAGCACATTTTAGATGGTGATTAGGAAATGCATCGGCGCGTTAAATGAAGCACCCATTTTTTCACATATTAGGTTATGACTAATTATCTTATCTTGACGAATCTCTTCGCCTTCGTAACGACGGGCTCATCATTTATACACCAAATTTCAGAGTGTACACCTTCTAAAAATAGGAGAAACAATATACAACAATATTTTTCCATCTCTCGTATAAAAAATATTAAACAAAACAATAGCCTCCGTTGAATGTGATGGTCGTTTCATTGTCAAATAAAATTCCATGGGCTGGGCCGAGATTCGAGCCAGAATTGATAGCGACACAAATACAAGTCAGACGGCCTAACCGCCATCCTCCAGAGCGGTGGTAAAAAAAGAGTCAGACAGATATACAGCTATGTATGGAAACATAGGTAGATGGATTGGGAGAGAGAGAGAGAGAGAGAGAGAGAGAGAGAGAGAGAGAGAGAGANGAGAGGGTGAAAGAGATAGTGAGAAAAAGAAAGAGGAAAATCTACAGCAGATACTACTGTAGAAAATTCTTCCAATCCTGTTTGTTTTGAGAGTCTACTCTCAACACGACACAGAAGAATGACACAACTACACGGAAAACAAACACTGAGCCCTGAAGATGATCTCAATAAAGATAGAAACGTTGGCACGATAAAAAGTCTTTTTCAAACACCTACGTCACACCAGACCTCATCTCACGATCTACCAATAACCTTTAATTAACTCTTATAAATTGGTCAGAATTTGGAATCCATTTAACATTCACATTGTGTTAGTGGTTTAAACCATAATTTTTAACGATCAACATGATTTATGTAGTTAAAATAAAAATAAAAACCTTTATTCAATAGTAAATTTAATTTAAAGAAATGCAATGCGAACAATGGCAGGAGATTCGACTGCCCACCCACCCGCAAATAGGTGAAATCACTTTTGCCGACTTCAGCCGTTTAAACTTGTTCAGAAGGTGCATAAGATTGATAAAAGCCTAATGTGTAAATACGCCTCATATAATTAGTGTGAAGAGTTAAACCGGGATTAAAAGTTAAATGAGTGTTAAAGGTGATGTGGGCGAGGCTCTTCTTAAGGGAGCAAGTTTTCTTAAAGAGATAAGCCTCGACTTTGAATTGTTTGAAAGTTGAATTTTCAGTCAAGCCTTTCTTATGATAGTGGGTCTTGCTTAAGATCCCCTCTGTCAATGGGAAAAAATGTCAATCGCGACCTAGAGTTCTTGTTGAAACAGTATTCTAATTTTATAAAATTGTGAAGATAATAGACCGAGATAGCTTTCTTTTGGGATCATGAAGTCAGACGTTATTATCTAATACCACGGCAATTGTTCAACCTGGGCACAGACTGGAAACATGGGGGATTTACTATTTTCTGAAAAAGATTTATATTTATATAATTGAGATTATAGATGGTTAGATAATGGAGTTAGATATTAATTTTTTTGGAGGAACTAATGCTGATCTTAGACCATGACATTCATTTAAAAGGATATGCAAGTGAAAAAAAGTATTTTATTAATCTTAATTTTTTAAACTCTCGAGTTTTTAATTATTATTATTTGGTTTTAGATAAGTTACTGCCTGGTAAGAGTGGAGTAGTTTCGTTTATCGGACAATTTTTTTGTTATAATTTTTAAATTAAACTATTTGGTACAGCATAATTACTATTTAATACTTGGTGATCTACTTTTCGTGGCAGACTAGTTAAAAATAAAAAACTACGTTTTTGTAGGTAATTACACAAGTGTGTTGACATGTAAATCATCCAATGTTAAAGCAAAGTTTAGAGTATTCTGCCCATGTTTATTGTATTATTTATTATATAAACAAACGAAATATCTATTTTGGCAACGAATATTCTACTTTAGTGAATTTTTTAATTTAAATTTAAATTTAATTTAATTTAATTATTTTTTTGGTTAAATAAATACAATAATCTACTGATTAAATGCTTTGAATGGAATGCATGCAAGTTGCATAAGTGCAGTTAAATGCATTATACAGGGTGAATTGCTACTCGTGCTACAAACTTCACCAGTAGATTCTTGACCCTAAAATGAACAAAAAAGTTCATATTGACCATGGTCCGATTCTCAACCATTTCAGAGTAATTTCGCTTTTTATTGATTTTGAAAGATATCACGTCCTGGCGTCGGAAAATCGTGATATCTTTTAATCTAAACATTTCTCTTAAAATCTATAAGCACCGTTGAAATCCCCGTTAATTTTTAGAGAGAATCAAAATCATAATTCCATTGAAATTTTTTAATTTAATTTAATGCCCATTTAGTATGTAATGCTTAAGAAGTTTACAAACAGCTAGAAGGTCAAGGAAGAAAGACCCAAACGTTTTGCCACCTTCATCTTCTTATTGAAAAATTAACGGGGATTTCAACGGTGCTTTTAGATTTTCAGAGAAATGTTTAGATTAAAAGATATCACGATTTTCCGACGCCAGGACGTGATATCTTTCAAAATCGATAAAAAGCGAAATTACTCTGAAATGGTTGAGAATCGGACCATGGACAATATGAACTTTTTTGTTCATTTTAGGGTCAAGAATCTACTGGTGAAGTTTGTAGCACGAGTAGCAAGTCACTCTCAAACATTAGCAATCCTTGAACCACCATTTTTTCTCTTTTTGTCATCAACATCTTGGTCTCACAACCACTAAATAAGAAAATGACGAGTGCGTTGGAAGCGTTATTAAATCAGGTAGTTTTCCTCAAATTTGCTGCCTTCTGAGACTAAAATTAGAAACTCTGGATTACTTTATACACTTTCCGATTTACACAATTTTCCACTCTTTTTGTAGTTCTGGCTGAAATAAAACACAAAAAATTAGCCCAAACATTTTGCCACCGTCATCTTCTTATTGAAAAATTAACGGGAATTTCAACGGTGCTATTAGATTTTCAGAGAAATGTTTAGATTAAAAGATATCACGATTTTCCGACGCCAGGACGTGATATCTTTCAAAATCGATAAAAAGCGAAATTACTCTGAAATGGTTGAGAATCGGACCATGGACAATATGAACTTTTTTGTTCATTTTAGGGTGAAGAATCTACTGGAGAAGTTTGTAGCACGAGTAGCAATTCACCCTGTATATTTATTTTGTACAGATGGTTATAAAAAACACAAATACAGAAAAAAGATAAATAGAGAAAATATAGTGATAAAGGTACAACCAAAGAAGAAAATATAGAGAAAGAGAGAGAGAGTGTGTGAGAGAGAGAGAGAGAGTGAGCGAGAGAGAGAGAGCGAGAGAGAGAGAGAGAGTGAGAGAGGGTGAGTGAGAAGGTGAGACAGGAGATAGAGAAAGAATGAAAAAAAAAGAGAGAGAGAGAGTGTGAGTGAGAGTGAGGGAGTGAGTGAGAGATAAAACACCCCTCCGCACAAATAAAATATAAAATAGAATTAATTTTTACATTTACATTCATTTTTACTAATTTAGAACACCGTGAAATGTCAAACGGCTAAAATGGTGTATTTGCAGTTATTGGTTCGAAATTGATCATCCGTGCATTTCTATTGAGGACGGCGATAATACCGAAACCCACCCGACAATAAATCAACGGCAAACGGAGGACCAGGTACGGTCAATTTCGTTCAAATTGTTGTCTGTTATCAACTTGCGGACCACACAATGTGATTTCACAACTTTTCCGTTGAATTGAATATTATTAACAATTCTTTCAACTCGTTTTCTAGCTTGCTAATAATTTAAAAAGGGTTTTCGGTAAAAATTATGAGTATTTTTATACTTTGCTAATCGACGTCTTAAAAAACAACTGTAGTTAGAAGCTTAATCAGCGTATGAATGATCCTTTTGATGTAACTCTTTTGATTGAATCATTTGCCCTCTCTATAAAAAAAGAGGAAAAGAAAAAAAACATCCTGCCATAATATTAACAAAACAAAATATAAAAAATTTATCACGACGGAGAATCGGCATAACGCCATGTCGTGAATGATGGACATGTAAAGATGAGACGTAATGTCTCGGGATATCATGTGAGAAATGAAACAAAACGGATGGAAATGGCCGGTTTAGAATTTTGATGGAGAGAGATACTTGTAATTCCCGCTAGATTTAGAATGGGGCATCTGAGAATAACCTATAATAGATTAGGAAACTGACAACCGGTCTAAATTATGATCCTATTTAAATAAAGAAAAAGACATTAAACAACAAATTTGCTCATAGCAGTTTGAAATATTGTGGACATACAACACAAACATGTACATATATTATATATTTAGGTTTGATGTACTTACTTTCTTAGTCGATGGGATCTGTTGGATTCAGTACTCCTCGATGTTAATGTGAAATATCCGATTGCAACATTTAAGGCGAAAGGTTCGCTAAATACTGACAAGATTTTTTCGAGAAGGTAAATCTTTTTGTTGTTAAAAAATAAATTATATTGGAAATAAAAATCCGTTTTTACGAAAATCACAACGCACGAATTGACTAAGATTGGACCTAATAAAATTTATTTCTTGGTAGAGAGCTGTATTGCCATTGATCTTCGTCCGGGCGGTTTATCCCTCTTGGATCAGTATGGCCATGGAGGGCTCTCACGCCCGACCATCAATTGGGGCCAATAAAATTTTATTATTCCCTTTTATTTCGCTATTACATCCTTGTAAACCGATGGAATGCTACCTGGGCCCCTTCCGTCACCGGCCTAAACACACATTTAATTCCTCGGTGCGACTCTTCGGTCAGTCGCGTCGCACCGATAAAGCACATGTGTCTGACTTGCACACCGGATCGTCATATACAACAATGGGCGTATCCGATTCTAGCTCTCTCGCACTAACAACTGAATACCTTTTGTCTCATTTTTCAAACCGTTTTATTTCCCACAGTAGCTGACTCTAAGAAAGACAATGAAACGATTTCACACTTATCACATATTTCTCGTATTTTGCACAGCTTGGGATTTATTCATTGTTAATTAGAACATTTTTACACCAACGCCTTCTCTTGATTCGGTGTAATTTATAAGCACCTAACCGTTTGTAGACGGTATGTAAAATGTAGATTATTTTTCTCATATTATTTGACTGTTTGCCATTTAGCCAAGTAGAACGAGAAACATCCCTTTATTCGCATAAGTAATGCAGACTTAGGTTCAATAATAATAAGAAATTTGAATGAGTGTTACTTTAACCGTTTTCTGTTCTCCTCTTTAACAAGTTTCTTGGGGAAAGCTAATCAAAACGTTCTGTCGATCCAATCCAGACGCGACTCAAATTACTCAAAACAGTTCATAAACGCACTGCAAGCGGGACATTACCGTTTATGACACACGAAATATTCATTAATCATTCGCAGTTTCTGAGCTTGATGCTTGTCCGACGATGAGCAGCCATAATTGCTCAGAAAACATAAAATGATCCACCTTGTTGCGTCATTTGTTGACATAGCATCTTTACATTTAACAGACTACGTCTCATATGTGTCATCATTGTATCCAAGAGGCGAGATGAGAACATTTTATAAATTCAACAATATAACTATAACTATAAGGAAAATAAATAAAACTAACTCAGACGTCTATTTATATATGATAGAGTCAAATCAATGCAGATGATTAGTTACAACTATCATGTCTCTGATGATGATGAGAGGATAATACGAAGCAGGAGTTTGCTATTCTTCAAGCACTGCTTTTGACTTTTCTTGTTCTTTGGTTCAGTTCAATTAATGCGATCTTTCTTTTAAGAAGTAGGAGATTGTCATTGCTGCAATTTTTTCCCGGGTCATCCTCGCGGGATCTTTTTGGTCTGTTAGATCAGAATAGTTGGTTAGTTACAACCATGTTATCTGATATTGTCGGTGAGAAAGAGGATAGAAGGAAGCGGGTTTTGGTATTCCCAAAGTACTGCAGCCTTGTGGGTTTTTGTACCTTTTCCTTCTTCCTTTGTTCATTTCAACTAACTTGATTCTCATGTTAAAAATGATAAGATCATTGGACTAATACTGCTGCAGTTCTTTTCCTAGGGTGTTTTTGGTATCGTAGGTAATGCACCATGCGTTTGGTTCGCATTCGAAGATAATGTGGTAGTTTCTTCCTCCTCGTCGAGTTACCTACAAGTGGAGTCAACATTGAATATACCTATGCCGTGAAGGTTATTTCTTAGATTACAGTGTCCGATGAAGAGAGAAGGTTGAAGGAAGATGTAAAGGATGGTAACCTCACACGATAGACGGTAGAAGAGGTCTATGGTTGGGCGATGATGATGCCATTGACCTGTACAGAGCTTTCTCACTCCCTTAAGTTTTACCCTGTATGTGTAGCAATGTGCCCCCAGTTTTGGGGAAGGTTCAGTAATCATGAATTTACTATGTCTGGTACCTATGGAATTCTTCCACTTTTATATTTTATTTTTTGTGGATCATTCTGAGATGTAGGATGTTTGATCTTCTTATTGCAATTAAAAAAGTACTTGATTATAATGTGTAGTGTTTCAGATCTTCCTCAGACCAGTTTCCTGCGTGTTCATTACTTCCTGTGCTCTAGCATCCAAGGTATTGTCAGGTTGTTGTTTTTCTGTCTCTGGAGAATTTAGAGGCATTTACTTCTACGCGTGGTAAGGATTTCAGAACTGCTTGTTCGTATAATGTTATTTCAGTGTAATTTGTTTTAAAATTTTCTGTGGCATAAGAACAGATAGGATGTATTTTAGGTTGAAAGATTTATTTCCCTAATTAGTAGTTTCTACATAGTAGGTCGACTATTTCGATCGAAGAAAGCCCGGGTCTTTTTGGGAATAGTGACCCCTCATTATCTGTTGTAGAAAACTTGTTTTACTGTTTTTAAATATTTATTCTGGTGGCCAAAAATGTACAATATCATTTATTAATTGATTGAACAAATCATCACCGCTATTTCTGTGAAGCCAAAGAAATTCACACAAACATGACTCTATCAAACCTCGTCTTGTACCTTGTTCTTTTTTGTTCCTAGCTTTTGCTTGTGCCAAAACGACTCAATTCGTTGAGTATGGCTACATGTGATGGGATCAACGATATTTGTTGAATATTCACAGTAAAGTGTTTGTAATTTTTTTCTTGTATCTTAGTAATGCCGGTGTAGGATGCCCCCCACTTGTGTTTCAGATGTACGGTTTGGCCCGCAATACATGAAGCATTCATTATCTTCTCGACACATACCTCCGAACACCCATTGCTTAGGATAGATTCTACCAATGTTATTTTTGCGTTGAGAAAAACTTGGTTCATCTATCTCAACTGTTTTATCCGGCCCTTCTATCTTTCTGAAATTTTTTTAACAAATGATCTGCGCAAACAATCTCTAAACAAATTTTTCCAATCTGTAATAATATCGGTAGCTAATCCCAGTTCCTCTTGACAAAATTTCGTAGATGTATGTTCCTTTGTCAAGCAGTATAGCAAAATGATAAATTTATTAAATGGCTCCTGTTTTCCAAAAATGTACCTTTTCTTAATCCAAACGTTTGTTTGCAGGCTTTCACGTTACATCTCCATCTATCCTTTTCTCCTAGATAGAGTTTCATTTGATGGTCATTAGAACAAAATCTTTCACTGTGCAAAATCCCCTTACACTGAAGAAAGGAAATCGCTTTTTCCTTTGTATCTACTTGAGTAACTAAGCTAAATAAAGGCATGGTTTTCTCTTTAAAAATAGAAAATAAAGCTAAAATATTGTAAAACTAACAGATAATGAGGGGTCCCTATTCCCAAAAAGACCCAAAAGCCCATTTTGCATTAAATAATTATGAAAAAACACTTTTATTGCGAAATTTAACGAGAAAAACCTAAACGGGTGTTAAAAAGGGGTCGCTTGTAATAGTTTCTAGAAGAAATAAAAGTTAAATATCTCCATAAAATTTCCTGAGCGAATTCTTGAAAGACATATGTTACATTAACTGGCAACGATAAGTCTATGCCTTATATGATCGGATGAGATTTGTTCGCTCTTAATTGTTAGAAAAGAACACGTCGACTTATCTTTCAATAAATGAATTCATTTCATCGTTGAGCTAGCATACGTGTGGTGAATCGATTAATAAAGAAAGGTTCTGTAGCTGAGAGACTTTTATTTGCAAGCATGTACGGAACTGGACGATTATAATTGTATTCTCAGGCCAGGGAAAACGGTACGAATGATCAATGACTAAAGGAAATAATTTTCAGGAGGAGGATTCCGATTGTGTCGAACGTACAAACGATCCCCTCGGATGGCTCTGAAAGAAAATAACCATTTCCTGGAGATGAATCAAGGGACGGTTGTGTACAAAGCTCGACCCATGCACCGGATATGGTAATATTCTATAAAAGGGGACAATTGGAGACGGTGGACAGAAACGGCGGCCCCGACTAATGGTGCATCAATAGCTAACGGGAGGCCGTTCCGTTAGGGAGTTACTATAATAAACCTAAGTCGATTGATAGAACTTAATCATTCTCGATGCCATATCCACAACTCCTTACCCTATTACATAACGACGATCGATCATTCGGCTCAAATTCTAACCCTCAATTCCCCCTTATTATCTCGGTATCGCTTAATAACGTGATTATTTCAAAATCGAACTCCTACATCGTAGTTTAGTTTAGACGAACAAAACTTTTTTTTTCATTTAAGTTCAAAAATCAAACTACACCGGTCGTTATTTCAACTCTACATAACATTTTTTTTGTTCAAATCAATATCCTAATTAAAATGATATTGTTTGTAAACTGTTATTTTTGTTAATACAAAACTCTTTTATTTCTCACTGCGTAAATTTGTAAATATGAAAACATACGATGATGAGCTTCGAAATTAATTGAACAACAGTATGTATGTCTAAATCCTAGACATACATAAATACAATCATTTATAGTAAACTATGATTGATTTTTTTCCATTTTCCTATATTTCTAGCAACCGGAAGATCGGAAAACAACTGTTGCCCACACAAGGCGCTCGGAGGAAAAAAAGCTTCTTAACTAGTAGGCGGCTAAATAAAGTAATAAACAGTCTGCTTAGCATATTTTCGCGCAGGGCTATAATTCAAACGTTAACTTCACCCTAAAATTTATAGTCTTCTCGAAGTGATACTCCAGACCGGGAACAAGGCATTTGTCGTTTTCCATCCGGTTTTTAAACCATGCTGTTATTTTTTATTTATTTATTTTTTAATTGTAATTATAACGTTGGGTCATGCGATAAAAATTGTTCGAGCGAAGGCTTTTCGTATTACGGTGAAAAAAAAGCATTTATTATGATCCTTACTCCCAAGAAAAATGTCAGATGACAAGAGACCAAGCGCGCGCGCACGCACGCACGCATGCACGCACAAATATCATTTACCTTCAATTTCGAAACATAATGAGTTTGCAAATGTAATGTTAGATAAAAATGACTATTTCGTTCTTTTGGCCGATCCTATAATTTCATTTCTTAAAATATCATCTGATAAATCAGGCCATTAAAACTATCTTTCTGATATAGCTTGCTTTCAGTTAATCACTTTTAATACTGACTCTTGAGAATTCAAGCGATAGTTAACATGTTTTTGTCCTGCATAAACAATTTTTGTTGTAGTCATTTTCACAACGATTTCACGGTTGTAAGTAAGGTATGTAAGTAGGGTTAGGATTAGAGTTAGGGTTAGGGAAAGATTAGGATAGGTGAAGGGCGGTTGGGTGAATATTAGGTTTAGATATAGGTTAGATAAGGTAGGGTTAAGATTAGGGACGAGTTAGGTAAGGTTGGTGGTGTGAGTTGTTAGGTTAAATTTTGGTTATGAGTAGGGTTA